CACAACCAACACACACACCCCCCACCCCAAAAAAAAAAAAAAAAAAAAAAACAAGCGCGGAACGTACGTGAACCACTCGAGAACCTCGAGGATGGGGAGCGGGGTGCCACGCATCTGGCCGGCGCGGAACTGCTGTGCGAGGAGGTTGGCGTAGGGACCAAAGCCAAAGCGACCCTGCAGCCAGCCGCCAAGCTCATTCTGGCCCTCGGACCAGAGGTACTGCTCGTTCCACTGGATGAGCTGGCAGTGCTGGCGCTTGGGGAGGCCGACGAGGGTGATGTTGAGACCGCGGAGACCAACATGGACGCCGACGCGCGCGTGGATGTGTTCGTTGCTGAAGGCCTTGTAGGGCATCTCGCCCTCGAGGTAGTCCTGTTTCCACGTGTATGCAAAGCTGGAGCCGAGGATGGCCCAGCCGACGAAGATCATGAAGAACATGGCGCAGAAGCGGACGGCGGAGCGCTTGATAAACTCGCGCCGCTCCTTTTTGTCTCTGATGTTGACGGCCTGGGAGATGAGGCCGAAGCTCAGGACAAACTGGATGATGGCAAAGGAGACGAAGAAGGAGAGGATGCCCATGAAGGGCACGTCGCCGAGGCCGTGCTCGTTCGTCTCATAGAACCAGGGGCCGAACCTGTGACGAGGGGCGGGGGGTATGGGGGTTTGGTGTGTGTGTGTGTGTGGGGTTGGGGGGGTTGGTGGGTTGGTGGGGTGTTTGTTGGAGAGAAGATGGTGGAGGGAAGATGGTGAGGTGTTGAGGGAAGTGTGTCACGCGGGATGCCGTGTTGTGTTGTTGTTGTTGTGTTGTTGTGGATGAATGTCATGACCTACAACCCACACCACCACCCTCGCACGAAACAAGGGAAACAACAACAAATAACAACAAGAACAAACAACAGCAAGAACAACAACAAGCAACAAATAACAACACACACAGACACACATACACAAGCACGCGCGACAGCAGACCTGGACTGGGCTGGCGGGGTGCGAAGCCCGCTCTCTTTGTTTCCCATGGCGGCAGCAGTGGAGCTACAAAGAGGGGAAAGAGGAAGAGGAGGAGGAGGGGATCAAGGCTGTTTGAAGCGACGCGAAGCGATGTGTTGTGTGTGGTGGTGGTGGTGATTGTGTTGAGGAAGGGATGGGGGAAGGTGAGCGTTTGGGAGTGAGGGACGGTGGGGAGAGGAAGTGGGGAGAGGGATCCAAGGGATTCAAACAAGCGAGCATGGAAGCATGGAAGGAAGCAAGGAAGGAAGCATGGACGCACGGACACGGGTGGCATCACATGTGCGCAGACAGGCAAGCATCATGGCCATGCAACGGTTCCACAACAACAACAACAACAGAGGGCAAGGCAGACACAAGATGACGCACCGCTGTGTGTTTGTGGGAGTGAGGGGGGATTGGAGAGAATGGAAGCGAGGCGACGGTTGTTGGTTGTGTGCGGGCAAGTGAGTGAGAGTGGGGTGGGTGGGGTGGGTGAGAGTGGGGTGAGTGAGGTGAGTGGGATGAAGGTGAAGACTTCAGAACAAGGGTGTGGTCGGCAAGGAATCAATCGGGTTGGTGTGTGTGTGTGTTTAGGGGTGGGTGGATGCTTGCTTGGACGCAAAGCAAAGCAAAGCAAATGAGTTGCAAGAGAGGGTGGGAAGCCGGTGGATGGAGGAGGTGGAGAGGGAGGGGAGGGGAAGAACGCAACACAACAACACAAACAACACAACAGCAGCAAGAGCGGTAAGAGAGGACTGAGGGGGTGCGGGAGCAAAAGGACACATGAGGAGGCTGACGACGATCAGGTGGGAGGGAGGAGGAGGAGGAGGAGGACGGCAACGGAGAGAAAAGAGAGAAGAGAGAGAGAGGAGGGATAGGGAGGGATAGGGATAAGGTCTTGCTTGCTTGCTTGCTTGCACGCGCCCTCATTGCATCTCCCATGGCCCGTCACCTCGATTACCATCACCATCACCACCACCTCGATCACCACCACCACCACCACCACCCAGCGTCCTGCAACAGCATGGCCATGATCGCCATCGCGCACGCACCTCGCAAGATGAAGGGGGGAGGGTGCCAGGTTGGAGAATCGACAACAACAGAGAGCAGCCGTCTCAGAGGCAGGGGAAAAAAAATCTGCGCCTGAAGGCCCCACCTTTTCCACAAGAACCAAAAAAACGAACGAATGCAGGCAAGCAAGCAAGCAAGGCAAGCAGTGCAAAGACAGCACACACACACCTGACACAGTCAGTCAGCGAGGAACGATAAAGAGAGGAGGGGGTGGGGTGAGTTTTGGTTGGTTTTTTCCCCCGTCTGCCGTTGCTTGCTTGGTGTTGGTGGATAGTTGCTGTGCTGCGCTGTGGGTTAGGGTTGCTGGTTGCTGGTCCAAGTTGTTGTTCAAAGTGCGTGCCTCAACGCATAACGGCAACAACGGAGACGCAAACGCCAGCAAGGCGTCCTTTTGTCCCGGCCTGCGAACGCCCGCACGCGCGCCATGTGCAATCTTCTGCCCGAAACGCCACGCATACGGTGCATTACGCTGCTGTCCAACGCACGACGACACTTGCGAGGACAACCGCCTTCCGTCCCAACCTATCACTGATTGGCAGATGGCGTGATTTCTCGTGGCGGTTACGGAAGATCAGTTGAAAATATACGCAGAAATTCGGCATTTCCAGGCTCAACGGCAACGATGTGTCCCGCCAACCACCTGGCATTCGACCCCTGAGTGTCTCGGCAACCAAAACAACGGTGCAGTGTTTTACGCACTGAGGGAATAGAGCAACGACGACGCACCTGTCCCGCCACCGCCGGAGCATGCATGCAAAACAAACCAGCAAGCAAGCGGTGATGTGAAGCAGATGCTGGTTGGCTGGCCTGCATTTGGAAAAAAGGGTGGGCCCGCCACGGTTGGTGTGGTTGGTTGGCGGGGTTGGTCGGGTAGGCGAAAGTGGGGTGGGAAGTGGGAAAAGGAGGAACAGAAAAGAAAGAAAGCAGCAGCAGAGGAGAGGAAGAGAGGGAGAAGAAAAAAAAACTGGCTGGTGAAGAACAAGCGATGGTGGTGGTGGTGGTGCCGGTTGTCGTTGTTTGTTTGTTTGGCGAGTGGGTGTGTGCGCGACAGCGGGCATTGGTTTTCATTTTTCTCCTTTCGACAACGGTGAGCTGTGTGTGGGGGGAGGAGGGGGGAGGAGGGGGAAAGGGGGGTGCGATCGCTCGAGGGACGGATATGGTGGTGGTGGTGGTGGTGGTGGTGGTGGTGGTTGTGTGGTTGTGGATGGATGGCCTTTTGTTTTTGATGTGGGCTTACTCCTCGTGGGCTTTCTCCTCTCTTTCTTCTCTTGTTGTTCGTGTCTCTTTGAGCTCGCTTTACTCACACCACACCCTCCCTCCGCACACATCTGCATCCACGTACTCTCACACTCACACACACACACACACACACACACAATGAACAACATACCCACTGCAGGCCATCTCGTTTACCCACGGGTTTTGTTTTGTTTCTTTTGTGCAGTCCACCCACCTTTTTCTGACTTGCGATGCGTGCCGCCATGCACGGGAAGGCCGGCGTGATGCTGGCGCTCGTGTGCGTGCTGGCCGTGGCCCTCAAGGCGTCTGCGCAGTGCCCATATGTGTCAGAGGCCGAGGAATTGCCCGACCACCCGCGCCCCGTTGAGTACCAGGGATGGGACGGTTTCTACAACAACCTCGCACACCCAGAGTGGGGTGTCGCCGACTCCAACCTCCTCCGTATCCTGGTGCGTTTGTCGTTGTTGTGGCGTGGGGGAGGGGGGAGGGAGGGTAGGGGCGGTGGTGGGTGGAAGGGGGTGAGATGATGGTGTGTTGAGGTGGGGTGTGGTGGTGGTGGTGGATGTGGACGTTGTTGTTGTGTGGCTGCATGTGATTGGACTATGTATATGCCTTGTTCACATGAGTGTGCGCTGCTGCTGACTTGTGTTTTGTTGTTTTTCCTCTCACGTGATCGTTTCTCGCGGGCCCATGTCTCTTTCGTGCCATGTTTTGTCTGTGTCTGTGTGTGTGGTTGCCCTCATTATCTCTCTCCCCTTCTCTCTGTGGTTGCCCTCATTATCTCTCCCCCCTCTCTCTGTGGTTGCCCTCATTATCCATCCCCCTCTCTCTCTTTCTCCATCTTGTCCCCCACACTATCTCTTTACTTCCCCCCCCCCCCCTCTTTCACTCGCATCCAACACCAATACTTAACCACCCCCACCTGTTCCAAACAACAACTACAACCGTGTGCAGCCCCCCAAGTACGCGGATGGCCAGTATGCGCCGTCCAACCCTGACGGCCCGAACCCGCGGTCCGTGTCCGAGGCGACGATGGCCGGCAACACGGGCATCATCCCCGACATTCCGCGCACCGTCTTCTGGACCCACTACGGCCAGCAGGTTGTGGAGGAGATTCTGGATGCGCAGCGCAACCCGTGCGTGCCGGAGTACGTGAACATCCCGCTGCCCGACGGCGACTCACTCTACACCAACTACACGCAGGGGTTCATCCCGCTGCCACGCGCGCGCTTCAACTACCGCACGGGCTGGGCGCCCTCTGTGCCGCGCGAGCAGCTGACGGAGATTTCCGCGTTTATCGACGGCACGCTCATGTACGGGCCCAACAAGCCCTGGGCAGACTCGATCCGCTCGTTTGAGGGCGGACGCCTGCGCTCCAAGGCCGACGGCAAGCGCGCGCGCGGGCTGGCCGTCTCCAGCAGCGTGGAGGAACACCTCCCGGACACCAACTGGCTCGGCCTGCCCGTGGCCAACCCGCCCGCGCCCTTTTACGGCAAGCTGCAGTCTGCGGCGCGCCTGTACCTGCTGGGCAACCCGCGCACCAACGAGAACCCGTTTCTGCTGTCCATGGGCATTCTGTGGTTCCGCGAGCACAACTACCACGCCGACAGGCTGGCGGCGGAGAACCCGACGTGGACGGACGAGGAGCTGTTCCTGGAGGCGCGCAAGTGGACCATTGCCATGCACCAGAAGGTGACGCTGTACGAGTGGCTGCCGCTCGTGGTGCACAACAGCAGCGCGCGCTACAGCGAGCTGGTGGACGCCAACGGCGACTCTGCCTACTCGGGCTACAAGGACTACGTCAACCCGCAGATTTCGCACGTGTTCCAGTCGGCGGCCATGCGCATCGGCCACACGTTTGTCACCCCGGGCGTGCACCGCCGCACGGCGTCGTGCGACTTTTACGAGGAGACGGCCGGGGATGGCACCAAGAGCTACCCGCGCGCCATCCGCACGTGCAACTCGTACTTCCGCCCGGAGGAGTTTATCGACGAGTACGACAACTCGTTTGAGGAGCTGGTCATGGGCATGACGTCGCAGCTGACGGAGAGGGAGGACAACATCATCACGGAGGATCTGCGCGGGTTTGTGTTTGGCCCGCTCGAGGCGACGCGCCGCGACCTCATGGCCATCAACATCCAGCGTGCGCGCGACCACGGCCTGCCCTCGTACAACGACGCCCGCATCCACTTTGGCCTGGCGCCCATCACGGACTTTTCCGACCTCCCCGTGAGCGCGGACCTGGTCACGGCCACGCGCGAGGTGTACGGCGACGAGCTGGAGCACTTTGACATCTGGACGGGCGGCCTGCTCGAGTCGGAGGCCTTTGACGGCCCCGGCGAGCTGTTCTCCGCCATCATCCTGGACCAGTTCCTGCGCATCCGCGACGGCGACCGCTTCTGGTTTGAGAACGAGCTCAACGGCCTGTTCACCGACGAGGAGCGCGAGCTCATCTTCAACACGACCATCCACGACATTATCGTGCGCAACTCGCGCGGCGTCATCACCACGGACGACATCCCGGCCAACCCGTTCCTCTTCCAGGCCGGCGACCCTTGCCCGCAGCCGGAGCCGGAGCCTGGCCGCCAGCTCTCCCAGACGGACTTGGAGCCTTGCACCAACCCGCAGACCTACGACTACTTTCAGCGGTGTGTGTGTGTGTGTGTGTTTGGGGGTTAGGGGTGTGTGGGTTGTGGGTGGTGGTGTTTCTGTTTGTGTGCAGGGTGGGTGGCATTGAGACACAGTGTCGTTGTTGTCGTAGTTGTTGTCGTTGTAGTCGTTGTAGTTGTTGTCGTTGACTCGACCCAATCTTGCAGTTGCGTTGCACCAGTCACACCCTCTCTCGTTCGTTCATCCGCTCATCTATGACACACTGCAATGCAATGCAATGCCATGCAAAACGCAACCACCTGTTTCCTCTCTCCACCACTACAAACCCCCAACCCTCGTCCTCCTCCTCTCTCCAACATCACACAGCTCGTACGACATTGGCAGCCTGCCACTCACGGTGGCGCTCGGGCTCGGTGGCACCGTCGTGCTCGCCCTCGGACTGATGATCTTCTTTGTGCGCCGCGGACGCAAGCAACGCCAGCTCCTGCGGGAGACGGCCGGCACCATCCGGCAGCAGGCCGCGTCCACGCGCCGCTCATCCCACCGCCCCGGCGCCGAGGCCGTGCGCGAGGGCAACAGGGCCATCCGCGACGAGCTGGCGGAGCTGGACATGCCCGACGAGTCTGTGCCGGACGACCGGCGGCACCTGTTCAAGGCGCGCATCCGCTCGCACGGGTTCCTGAGCAACACCAACCTGGAGGTGGTCTACGTCGGTGTGATCCACGAGCGCGACGGCGACCAGGTGGGCGCGTCGGTTGTGGTGTACAACCGGGACGGCGAGGTGCTGCAGTCTGTGCCCGTGAACGACGTGCGCGCGTTCCACACGGGCCCGCTGTACCGCTCGGTGTACCTGTCGTGCCAGTCTGGCGTGGGCACGTCGCTCATCTTCAACGCGCTCAACGGCGCCAAGTTTACGGTGAAGCTGGAGCAGGGCCTGGACGACTCGCACGCGCCGATTGAGGCCGTGGTGCACGCCACGGACGACGACATTCTGGAGGTGTCCGCGCGCGAGTCGACGGCGGCGCGCACGCGCATCAACGACGCGATTGAGTACGCGCTCAACGGCGTGTTTGCCAACTCGGACCCGGACTTCCGCGCCACGCAGCGCCGCCACGGCGGCGGGCAGGACGCCGGCACCACCGACCAGGACCACGAGCGCGTGCTGCGCAACCTGCGCCTGTCGCAGTTTGAGTTTGCCGGGCTCATTGGCCTGCCCTCGGAGCACGAGTTTGTCATCTCCCTGTTCAACTTTGCCGACTTCAACGGCGACGGGTACCTGTCGGCGTCTGAGATTATCCAGGTGCTCAAGCCCTTCTCGGAGAGCGACCCCACGCGCCGCTCCTCGCTGCTGTTTGACTTTTACGACAAGGACCACAGCGGCATGCTCGACCTGGACGAGCTGCGCGAGTTTATCATCTCCCTGTACGCGCTCACGGGCCTGGACGACCTCTCGGACGAGCAGGCCGACACGCTCCTCAAGACCATCTTTGGCGAGCACGCCATGCAGACGGGCGTCAACCGCGAGCAGTTTGTCTCGGACATTGCCCAGCAGCCCCACCTGCAGGACGCCCTGGACCGCCTCCTCCCCGGCGCCAAGCCCAAGAAGGACCGCCACGCCGCCGCCGCCGCCGATGCAGCAGCAGGGGCAGAGGACGACGACGAGCGCGACGACGTGCAGGAGCGCAAGGGCTGGCTGCTGCGCTGGTCCGACTACGTGGCGGCCAACCGCCTCGACTGCTTCTGGTTTATGGCGTTTATGGTCTCCACCGCCCTCATCTTCTACGAGCGCTTCTGGCGCTACGAGATTGTCCGCCTGCACGGCGGCCTGCGCGCCATCACCGGGTACGGCGTCGCCACCACCCGCGGCGGCGCCTCCGCCATGATGTGGACCTTCTCCCTCGCCGTCCTCCCGCTCTGCCGCAACACGCTCACCTTCCTCCGCGGCACCTTCGTCGCCAAGGTCCTCCCGCTCGACTCGGCCATCGAGTTCCACAAGCTCGCCGCAAAGACGGGCTTCCTCTTCGTCTGCGTCCACCTCATCGGCCACGTCATCAACTTCTACAACATCAGCACCCAGCCAGCCGCAGACGTCGGCTGCCTCTTCCGCCAGGTCTTCTGGACCTCGGACTTCCTCCCCCATTTCGGCTGGTGGGTCTTCCAGACCGTCACCGGCCTCTCCGGCTTCCTCCTCACCCTCGTCTGCATCTTCATGTTCATCTTCTCCCTCCAAATCGTCAGGAGAAGCTCCTTCGCAGTCTTCTGGAGCGTCCACCACCTCTGGGTCCTCTTCTTCGCCCTCCTCTACCTCCACGGTGCGGCGAGGCTGGTGCAAGAACCATTTACCTACTTTTTCGCCACAGGGCCTTTGGTCCTGCTCGCCATTGACAAGCTGATTTCGCTGTCTCGGTCGCACCACGACCTGAACGTGCAGGAAGCGCTGCTGCTCCCGTCTGGCGTGCTGTGCCTGCAGATGGACAAGCCCCCGGGCTTTGAGGCCATGCAGTCTGGCCAGTGGCTTCGCCTCAAGTGCACGGCCGTCTCCAAGTACGAGTGGCATCCCTTCACCATCTCCTCGGCCCCACAGGAGAACTTTGTCTCCGTGCACATTCGCAGCGCAGGCCCTTGGACCACCAAACTTCGCCAGGTCTTTGCCGAGGCCAAGTCCACGGGCGCCGACCTCCCAACCGTGCAGCTCGAGGGCCCCTTTGGCGAGATTCACCAGGACTGGCTCAACTCGAGCGTGGCCGTCTTTGTTGGTGGTGGCATTGGCGTCACCCCGTACGCCTCCATTCTCCAGGACCTTGCCTGGCGGTAAGAGAGTGTGTGGCGGTTGTGCGTGTTTTGGTTGCTGCTGTGGGGTGATGTGTGTGGTGGTGGTGGTGGTGTTTGGTTGGATTGCTTGTATTCACGTCAGATTGCTCGTGTTCACATCGTCATCATCACCCCAACTCACGCTGCTCTCTCTCCCTCTCCCTCTCCCCCTCTCTCTCTCTCTCTCTCTCTCTCTCTCTCTCTCTCTCTCTCTCTCTGTGTCTGGCTCTCTCTCCCTCTCCCCCTGGCTCCCACCCACCCTCACTCTTTTCCACACATCCATATGGCTGCATGCGACCCTGCTCACCGTAACTATCTGTTAAGAACGCGTACATGCACAAACACATTCTATAAATTGAGATAGGATGTGCGTTCCCCCCCCCCCCCCTCCCTGGGGAAGTGTTTGTTTTTTATTTAAAAAAATAAAATTGTTTGCTCTACTAGGACATTCTCTCAAACAAGTGCGTGAAAATGAAGAGAAAAGAAAAAAAGGGGGGGGGAGGTAAATATATAATTCATCGACGAGGGAAAAGAAAGAGAAAGAAGACGTTATAATGTGTGTTTTATGTATGAAACAAAACAAATCG